TGTCGTGTACAAAACTTCAAAACTTTCTCGAACATAATTTGAATATTCCTTGTAAAAATCTTTAAATTGATCTAATTCCTCTTCTTGCTTGTGTTCCAACTCTTTCATTTCAGATTTCTCTTCATAAGTTGTTTTGAAATGGCATTCACGAAGATATCTTATTACGAGCTTTTAACATCCATTCTATAACATTCAACATCTTTACCTTTTGCAGTGTATTTCATTGATTTGGAAATATTAAACGTAACTATCTGATCATTGATGTGCATAGTTAATTCCCCTTTCTACACATCTATCATTGCTCTTCCTGTAGTTAGGAAGGGTCTCCCCAAAATGATAGGTATCTCCTTATCTTTCTCCATATCTAACACAATGAAATCGACAGGAAAGATAAATTGATCCACTTTCACTAAAATATCTTCTATAACTCCTTTAGAATATGTTATTGAACGATCTGCTAACTGCAGAGTTACAGTAGTAGGGGATATATCTCCTAATCTCAATCTTTTAAATATTGATAATAGCATAAGATTAATGCTTGCACCTAAATAACATAAAGCTTTCTCATAAAATGTGTCTTCTATTGCACATAGAATTTTGAAGCTACTATGATCTTTATGCTCTTCAAGAAGGTTTTTTTTGTATTATAGCATTGCACTCCTCAATAAGAGCAACATTCTTGTTATCTTTGAATTTCCTTTTTCTGTAAAGAATATCCTTCATAAACATCACATAACTTAATATTTGTTCTAAGGCTTCAGTAAATGGAATGTTAATTGTAATCTTCTTAAAATTTTCCATAAATTTTGAAAATTGTTTATTTAGCTTTCGTTGACGAAGCCTATAAGGAAATGGAGGTGGTGGTTTTTCCAAGTCAGCTTTAAATGGAGAAATAGGTCTCTCTAAACCATTCAGAGCATTCTCTTTAGACTCTTCAATTTCGTTTCTCTCTACTTCAGTCTCTTTTTGAACTCAACCTTCCAATTCTCTTCCGCTTCAAAGTTGAATGGTTTTACTTTCCTTTTATTCTAGTCTTTTGGATTACTTCAGTATTACTAGGATGTGTTCCTTGAGATTTATTACTTAATGAATTTGTTATTTCTTCTAATTGATTCTCAATATTTCTAATTGTAGCTCATTGACTTTATAACTGATTTCCCATTTGTAACACCACTTCTTCTATAGATAACTTTTTCTCCTTGAATTATGGATTACTATTAAAACCTGGAGGATAAGTAAGTCTATAATTATTATTCCCTTGGTTGTTCTAGTTTCCCAATGAACCTTACTTGGTTGTTCGCTGATTATTATCACCCGAAGTATTATTCCAGTTAAAGTTGGGATGGTTCTTCTAACCTAGGTTATAATAGTTTAAATATGCGTTATTCTGCTTGTTATTTATGACATTCAAAGTTTCTATTGATTCTTGAGAATCTGCTATTTAGCTTAATGAATTCTATTCAATCATTGCAATTGGTTGAGAAAAATTAATTCCAAGCTGGTCTAACTTGTAGTAACTTGATTTGCTAACATTGTAAAAGCATCAGATTCATGAATATTGGCTACTTTCTTAGGATTTATCCTTTCATAAGGCCATTAAAAATTATTAGTAAAGCAAAATTTTCTAAATCAATACCTTATCAATTGTATGGTTGGCGTTGTCCATTATCCTCTGCAATAATTTTTTATGATGGAAAATATTTAGCAAGGAATTTTGTGCTAAATCACCCAAAGTTATGATAGATCCAGGTGCTAACTAATGTCACCATATCTTAGTCTTATCCCTCAATGAGAAAGGAAAATGTCCAAGTCTTATAACATCATTTTATACACTATCATAAATAAATGTAGTACATAATTCTAGAAATTAGCAAGATGTAAATTTAGATCTTCGGTTGGTGCTCCCCCAAATGAATTATTTGATACTTTGGATAATAGCGGGTTTAAGTTCAAATGAATTAGCCACTACATTGGGTTTTTGAATACTAAATGAAGTTCATCCACCGTAGGGTTTGCATAATCTCTTAAAGGTCTAAATTCTTGATTAATTTCAACATTTTGATTATTTTGATTTGTCATTTCTTGAAATTTTTTATTTTTTTCAGTAATTTTTAATTTTTTAGCTTTTTGAATATTTTTTTCTAATTCAAAATTATATGGTACTAATTAGGGCACAAGTCTTGTAGAACTCTAGAGATGCTGAACTACGCATACATTACTATGGAACACATAAAATAAAAACACACAAATGAGTACTTTATATAAAAACAACACTACAATATTCCTATAATAAATCTAAGGGTTTAAATAAGACTTTATAAAAATAGAAATTTGCTTTCTAAAAATTTCTTTAAAAATTTTGTTATTTTTTCCTGCAACAGCTCTAAAAAATTGATCCCGACTCTTTATAAATATGTTAATGCGATGTATGCAATTATATTCTTAATTTTTCCTTAATCATAATTCTTACTTTACAACAGTGCCAAAAACTTGATCACCAGCAATAGCTAGGCAAAAACTTGACTTCGAAGCAAATAAGAATACAATTATTATATTTGAATATGGGATACTACGCAAGTAACGTATAATATCAAGTAATATAGGACTTTTTTATTAAGCGCCGAATATCAAACCCACAGAAAAAATTACAATATGCAACTATAAAAAAACAAGAAATTAGATAACAAATTCTACTTAGCAAAATATTCTTACTTAAATTATAGATACAATAATAGGAATGAAAGTTTGATTCTTTTTTGTAATTTTCGGTAATTGAAAATAAAGTAAATAACTAATTCACTTAACTAGAAATTTGTAAGAATAAGGCAAATTAAGTAAAATATCTTTTTCCTTATTATAAATCAATAACAAGTATAGAAATTATGTTGTAGAAGTATTCAAATTGTGTTGAGCCAAATAGAAGCAATAATATTCTTTACCCTTATTAGAGATGCTATAAAGAACATTGGTTAATTTATAGTTTCAATAATCTTGAAGACGAGTTATGTAAGGAAGATACTAGCTCTCACTCTAGTGTTCCCTCTTCTCCCTCCACCTGGGGGCTAACATCTTGTATCAAAACCTAAAACTATAAATCAAATTGGGGGCTTTAGCTTGTCACTCTAAAGTTCTCTAATTCTACACCATTCAAAGTTTATTTTTCTATTTATTTGTACTCAATCATATGAAATACATTCTCGTCTATACAATTTCATGTGATTTTTACCATATGCTGACTAAGATAATACCATCTTAGATTTTACATGTTCTCACAACTGGTATTAACATCTTAATTGGCTAAATCAAGAAGTAAATGAAGTACAATGTTTAAAATTATCACAACTTCTTCCAACATTAAAGACTAATACTTCACATAACTTCCATCTAATACTTAATTACTTATCATTTTAAGGAAAAAGATAAAAAAAACTACTCAGAATCCATGGAGAAAACTCAATCACACTTGAGTTTGAAAGTAGAAATCATGCAAACAAACAAGAAGTCTAAATTAAAACCAAATGTAGTAACAAAGATAAAAACTTATCTCAAATCCTCTCCACCAAAGTCTTGAAGTTCCTTTGAATCTCTTCTTTTGCTTACAATAAAAATTACAACTTAAAATAAAAAAAAAAGTTGCGGCGGCGACGGCTATGGGCAGCGGCGGTGGCGTTTGGTGATTGAAATGGGGGTTGATGCCCTCCATGGAAGGATGGATTTCTTTGCTCTAGTTTAGGTCTTCTTTTATAATTTTCCAAATGGTGCCTTGGTGTCTTTTAAAAACTAGTCCATATTCAATGAATTTTCTAGAAGTTGTCTCATTTCAAAAGTCAATTGAATGAATTTTCGTGTCCATTAACTAATTCCCACGTTATCACCAAGAGTTGTTTCAAACGCCTCTTCAAAAATTTGTCCAAATTCATTGAATCATTAAACATCTACTTCTGGTGCATAAGCGCGAGGTACTAGGCGCTTAGGCGCGGCTCTATCTGTTTCACTGGCGTGTAAGTGTCAGTATTTGGCGTTTAGGCACCTCAGTTCAATTTCTCACGTTCTTCATTTTTGCTGCAAATTTGATCATTTTTCACTCTTATCATTTTTCGTTCATTTGATTGCACTTGAAAGAAAATAACACAAATATTTTTCATAAAAGTAAAATATCTCAAAAATAGGTATAAAAATGTGTACATAAAGACAATATTTTTTAGGTGTATCAATAACCACATCAGTCAAAGACTTACTTTTTAAGGTTTAGGTATTGGATATGATTCAAGTGATTGAATATACCACATCTTTCTTACATCTCCTTAACTGTGATTTTTTCATATGTTTCAACCATTATTATTATTTTTTTAAAATTGAATATCTTATAAATGTTTGAAGAGACAAACATGACATTTTTTTTGAATTTTGATTGTTATTAGCATTTAAATATAATGGTAATGCTTCAACTAATTTTGCTAGCATTTGTCTAAGTTTATAACCTTATCTTTAGAACAAAGAAAAAAAATGATGAAACTATCATGCTTCAAATTTTTATTTAGAATCATGATCAAATCATTCAAAATTAAAGTATCTTAAGTTAGAATGCTGCAATTTAGATTGATAAAAATATTTGTATTATCATGATTACATTATTTAAGTTATATTAAGTTTATTATTTATTAAATCATTTGATTCAACTCTAGGATAAAAAATTTGAGCCTCTATAGTTTGAAGTTTAAAGTCTTCGTATTAAATGTCTAATTGAATTTTCAAAGTCATGATTAGTCCAAAGTTTCACTCAAAATGAAAGAACAATGTTGCTTGCAAAATAATGATATAGCTTGGAAGAGAGTTTAGTACTTTTCAAATAATGTGAAATGAAACTTCATATTATTTCTTCAAATAAAAATTAAAAGATTATATTTTTGATGTAAAATATAATTTTTATTTTTTGGAAGTAGTATTTTAAAAAATGTAATAAATTTTTATTTTAATTTATCGGAATTTGGGTAATTTTTTTCGCTCCTCTGTCCGGTTTGAGGCGTTCAACAAGAATATGGTGCCGCACGAACCCTATTCCATGGCCCAATCCCAAAATCCAAACCCAATCCTATCGAAAAATGGCCATATCAACAAACCGCAAGCTAGATCTCGGCCGCAATGAGTGGCCCTGTCAACATTACTCCTCCTCCTACGGCCAGCCATACCCTCCGCGTCGCCGCTGCCACTGCCGCCGCAGGAGACGCCGATCAAGCTGCGCGCATCCTCCTTGCCCGCCATCGTGCTCGCCCCTCACCCCCCGATGCCTTCTCCGTCAACACCATTCTCAAAATCCTCTCTTTCTCCCCTTCACCCCGCCGCAGCATCCCTTTCTTCTTCCGCATGCTTGTCGCCGGCTTCTCTCCGAACTCGTTCACCTTCCCTTGCATTGCCGCTGCGGCCGCCCGCTCTCCGGATCTCACTGACGGTGAAATCTCCCACGCCCAAGCCCTAAAGCGTGGCGCCACCACTGCTTCCGTCCATGCGGGCAACGCTTTCATCACCATGTATGCTGCATGTGGCCTTGCTTGCAGTGCCCGTGCTCTGTTTGATGAAATGCCGCAGAGGGATACCATCTCCTGGAATGCAATGGTTGATGGCTACGTTAAGGTGGGTGACCTCGCAAGCGCTCGTGAACTGTTCGAGATAATGCCTGAAAGAAATGTTGTGTCTTGGAATGCTATGATTAATGGGTACTTGAAAGGAAGGCGGCCGCAGTTTGGGCTGAAACTTTTTAGAGAGATGATGCTTAGTGGATTTACAGCGAGCATTACGACTTTGGTGACCATGGTGACGGCTTGTGGGCGTTTGGGTGCGATCAAGGATGGAAGGTCGGTCCACGGGCAACACATTAGGAAATTTTCTGATCAAAATTTAGTTTTTGGGACAGCGTTGGTGGACATGTACTGTAGGTGTGGGAAGGTGGAAATTGCAAAGAGAGTGTTTGATGTGATCAGTGAGAGGAATTTGGTTTGTTGGAATGCAATGATTCGGGGGCATTGTATTCATGGTTCTCCAAAAGATGGCATCGCATTGTTCCTAGAATTTGTTTCAGGTGATGATTATTTATGTTTGTTGCTTGCTTGATTCATTCATATTGGAGCTGCTTGATTTTTAAATTTGTTTCTGAGCAAACGTTATTTTCTTATCACCTCTGGCTGATTGCTAAATCAGTTCGGAAGATCATGATTGGAATAAACAATGTTGTCTGCTTTGGTAGTGCTCGGTCCTGTGATTTTCTCCGCATTTATTCACTCCAGTGGCTAGCATCTCCTACCTGTTTGGATGACTATTTATATACAAATTTAGATTTTTATTTTTTAGCACCTATCTTAAAATTTTGAATATATTAAAGAAGATTGAAATGGAAAATTAGATACATGCCTCACAATTTTTTTCTATGTACATATATCTGTAACCTCAAGTTTGATATTTACTTTAAAACACTCTGATGTCATAAACTTTTTGCATGAAAATATATACTTCACTTTTAAAAGTTAGTGATAGTGATGAGGTTTTAAAGTTTTGCGTGTCATGCATGTAAATATGAAAGTTTAGGTGTTAGATTCAGAAATACATAAGAATTCTGTGCTATGTATGTGAACGCATGTTATTTTGTGAATTTTTTAAAAGGGTGTTTTAAGGAAGACATTTTAAGAGGCATAATAAATAAAATAATGAGGCATTTTATATATTAATTGAAAAAGACAAGTGCAGTTAGCTATTAGCTATAAAGAAGATGGATAAATATAAAACTTTTAAGTTCGGATGAGATACTTTTTTTAGATCTGGATGATCATGAAGGATTTTGAAATGCTAAGATTAATCAATACTCTTAATGACTATGAATACTATGATATTATCAAATAATGAAGAAATAATTTATTATTACTATTTAAGAACAAATAATGATGCCTAAAATTAAGATAATTATATAGAAATTTAACTTGGGGATATATACTAAAATCATGAGATCAATAGTAGTTAGGATCCGAAAAAATATTCTGGTTTGGAAACCAATTTGGTTTTATACTTGGAAGATCAAATATAGAAGAATTTTTAAAATGAAACTAATTAACGAAGAGTATATTGAGTATAAAATGATCTTTGTATGATTTCATGGAACATAAGAACAAAATAGCTGAGTACTACAGGAATGTACTTAATGTGCACTAAGGAATAAAAGTTTGACAATTTTTTGGTGAAGTTATACGAATTTATAAGATGTGGAATTAAATAATATTTGAAGTTGTAGACTGATCCAAGAATTTTCATTATTGAATTACATTAATGTTTTGTATTAAATTGATATATTTTTTCATTAGTTATAGAATTGTTTACAAAGAATATTCAAATTGGTCGTTGATAGTGTTCTAATTTGCATATAATTGTTGAAATAAATAATGATGAGAAAATGTTTAGAGGATAGCTAGTATATAATTAGTCGAACAAATAATGAACATATGATGTACAATCTTGGTGGGTGTAATCTAAACAAATATTTTTTAATATTATTAGAATATAAGACGTTGTTTAAGTGTGACTAATTTACATAACTTGGTCCATCATAGTGAAGAATTGGGATATTGATATTTGCATAACTTCTGATCTTATGATTTGGTGTTCTAATAGTAGTTTGGCTATGCATTATGGATTTAATTGCTAAGCACTAAAGATTCGTTAACGTCTAAGTGTAGCAGAAATGATGACATTGTGATTGCTGTGTGATAAAGCAAAAAATGATAAATTGATTATCTACTCATAAAACTAAAAAGGATAAATTAAAGATCTACCGTGTTAGGGGTAAGGTTGACGTTATATTTGTAAAAAATAAGTATAAAATAGGCTTAGGTGGTTAAACCTCTATATCAAAGGTTATAAAATACACATATTACTAGGATAAATAAAATTTGTTTCTGATTATTGAGAAGGAGAAAAGGCAAACTTATGGTGAGTGTGAACAGAGGATATTTTAAAGTATTTAGGAATATACTTAACATCTTAGGCAATACTCAAGATAATTAAGTGGAACATGAGGATTTATAAAGCATACCTCAAATAGTTGAGACAAGGCTAATGATTGTGTGTTCAGTGTACACAACTCTTTTAATTTTTAATCATTCGAGTAAACTCCCTATGTTGATGTATTGGTTCTTATGAATGCAGAAGCCTGAACTTTAAAACAGTTGGTGATGGGAACCTTCTCATAGAATTTCCTATGGACATTGTATTCTCGGTTCATCACTAATTTCACAGTACTTTCTCTTTACTATCTTAATTACATGATGTTTTAAAGAGAAGAAAGATCTCATGTTATATGGATATTTTTGAATCACATATTGCAAGCAGGGAGCTATAGAGTGCTCACTCTTTTGTTTTTTTCTGACTGTTAGGTGAACAATCAACAGGAATCTCTCCTGATGAAGTTACTTTCATAGCAGTTTTGTGTGCTTGTGCCCGTGCGGAGCTTTTGGATGATGGGAAAAAATATTTTAACCAAATGATAAGTATTTATAATCTCAAGCCAACATTCGCTCACTATTGGTGCATGGCGAACATATACCGAAGCCTAGGATTCATTCATGAAGCAGTGCAACTACTAACAAACATTCCAGAAGAAACTGAGTCTTTGATTTGGAGTGGCCTGCTTGGACTCTGCCGATTTCATGGTGATATTGAACTTGGCGAAAGAATTGCAATGAGATTAATGGAATTGGAACCGGCCAATATCTCAGCGTACACATTGCTACAGAACATCTACGTTGCAGCCTATAGATGGGAGGATGCTCGTAAGGTAAAATACCTGGCGAAGGAAAGAAGAGTCAGGTTGAAGCCTGGTCATAGGCTTGTGGATTTGAATGAACTTGTTCATAATTTTAAAGTTGGAGATAGGTTGCAGCCAGAGATAGATAAAATATACATGATGATGGATGATTTGGCCTCAAGAATTAAGTCAGCCGGTAGTGAGCTAGATTGTATTAAAAGTGGCCAGCATTAGAATGTCATGATGGCAAGCTGAATCGTTTTTTCTTCACCTGCTGGCCTCAGAGTTTTCACTGTGCTGAAGTTTAATTGGCGAGGAAGGTCAGATGGAAGTACTTTTCTTCAAGTCCTACATTGCTCTGAAAAAAGAAATCATTACATAATTATCATGGATCACAAGTTCTGATTGTAATCATAATCAGAGGTTGCATGAATCTCAAAGCGCTTCAAAGAAACTGCAGAATACAATTAATCCAAAACTAATTGTGCAGTTCCATAAGATTGAGCTGAGCTTGATTTCAGGCCTGTTCATGCCGGTGGCTGTGTTTGAGCTTGGGTTGGTTCTCTGCCATCACGTTTAGCATCTTAACATTTTTAAACGGCCATAAAGATCAGCTGGTGTAACCAACAATTCCTTTTTGTTCTGGCATTGTTAGTTTTACTCAGGGCCTTCTTCTGGCTAAAATATTTCTGCTGGCTGGGGTTAAGGGAAATAAAATGCTCAACGGAGGCTATGGCCTTAAGAGAGATGGAGCTAACGTCACCATGAATTTTGAGCTTGGCTGGTGGAAACTGCCCTACAGCTTCGATTGATTTGGTTTAGGATTTTTTTTTTCATAGGTTATTCGAGAAAAAATTACGGTTCCAACATTTTCCTAAGTGGTACACTTTTTTTAATCCTAATAAAATGTTATTTTTATAGTATATTGATTAAAAAAGTTTTTTTCTTCATGTTGCAAATTTAAATGTACATTTTCACATTTAATGCTCTGCTCTTTCAAAAATGAAATGTTCATGTATTTTTCAGATAGGAGAATTCGAACCCAAGTGTCCATATTCTCAAAACTTGAAATCTTCCAATATTTGGGGAAATTTGCCCTTTGCAGATAATGATGATGCTACCAATTTTCTACAGAAAATGAATTAGAGGTTTGGAACAAAGATAGATCAAAGAAGATATCAGAAATATAAATATAAATATAACTTTTTTATAGTGACAGGGAATTCTCGAGAAAAACATGAAATTTGTCAATCTACACAGGCCACGGAAAAAGTATCTATGGATTGTGCACATCGCAACAGCCTCCACAACGTAAGGATCCGAGTTGCAGGTAGGACGTACTGATGAAGGCAAGTTTATTCTTTTTATTGCAATGGTACAAGCAAAGTTGACCAAGTGGACATTTGCGGCTAAGCACAGTCGGAATGAGTTGATCTACACTCAAAAGTAAGACTTCTATTTTAATTTGAGCTGATTTATTTATCTGTTTTGGTCCGTGTTCTTGTTTGATTTTTGTACACACTTGGGTTTGCTCCGAGTCATAATTGGATCATCATTATCTCACATACATCTGATAGTTCGAACTTTAATTTTTCTATTTGGACCACATCCTATTCGCATACATATGCTTGCTCGTTCACTGAGTCCAGCTTGCACACTAGGTTTGATTATTTGAGTCACTCATCTTCAAATTAGTTGCGTCTAGCTGATCTTTGTTTAATCATGCACACGTCATCATAATCTGTTTTAATTTTCTTTCAATCATACTTGTCTCCTATGTTCACAACCTCTGCTCACTTATGCATAACTCACCATGATTAAGAACCACATTTGATCGCGCACATTTGGCCATGATCATGATCGTCATTTGATCTTGTGCGCCTGGACTTGATCATGATTTGAGCTCATTTGCATGCCTCCCTATACTCACAATCTCATTTCGTTTGATTCAATCCAACATAATTGAATGGATTTGTAAGCAACCATTATTTGATCCATTTAAAATTTTGAAATTGATGTAATTTAAATAAAACAAGGAGGGATTTAGTGAAAATCTTTTCAAATACTAGATATACTCGATCTAATATACTAGTTTGTGCTGAGGATTACATGGATACTACTTAAATTTTATTCATTTATAAATATAGCATCTATATTATTTTTTCACCATCAAATTTTTCAAACTTTGACATGAATGAAAAATGTGACTCGATGCCTGGTTTTAAATTTTGATGTTTGGGTGAGAATTTGAAAGTTAGAGGCACATCTATGATAGCTGTAAATAGCAAAACATTAGATGTAATATAGATTACGGCCAAGTGTGGCCTCCCTAGCATGGCGCAAACTCAACCGACACACCTCCATGGCCATCCATCTCCCTAGCCACACTAGCCACCTCCCCCTTCATAGCTTTCACGTAGAATCCGCGTATTCCATGCCCTACGGCTTCACACCTCATGCCTCACAGTTTCACATGGACGTGCATACTGCTTGCCCTATGCATTTCCCTATATGATTACCTAGTAGAGCAAACACCTATATGGAGAACAGAAGACAGGATAAGAAATATAACAGTAAATTGTAATGTTCTTCAACTGTCACTTCCCACAAAAAAATTGGATGTCTACTGGACAAGCTGCAGGTTGACTGTTTGCAACTGAGCTGGCTTAATTTCCCTACTTGCTGGGCAGACTGGATGGAAGCTGATTTACAAATTGTACCTTTCATTGTGGCTTGGTTCATCTGGATGCACAGGAACCTTGTTAAGTTTGATGGCAAACTACCCATGGAGTCTCAGGTGGTTACCAGCTGCATTTTTTACATCCAGAAATTGACTCAACATCAAAAGTTCCCTAATATATGCAAGAATTGGATTCCAGTTAGTACCTCTGTGCCTTATCCCCCCTTCTCCCTGATTACATGGCTGGCCCCTCCTTCCAATTTGCTGAAAGTGAACAATTATGGTAGTTTCTCAGATGGGGATGCTGGGTTTGGTGGGGGGTATAGGAACACCCTTGGTAAGTGTCTTCTGTACTTCCATTCTCTCACTTTGGCGGCTAATGCTTTAGAAGCTGAAATGATTGCCATTTTCTAGGCTCTTTACATTGCTCAAAGATGTATGTTCTGTAATCTCATTGTGGAATCAGATTCTCAAATCATCATCAGAATTCTACAAAAACTGGAGAGCCCCCCCTTTGCATATTTCCAAATGGCTGCAAAGAATCATTCCTTTTACTCAATCCTCTCAAATACTTTTTACTCACACCCCTAGAGAAGGGAATAGGCCGACCCACTGGTTTGGGAAAAAAATCTGAAGTGTCGGTTTTTACCTCTTCTCCCCTCTATCTTTTTTGTTACATGTGGATTGTATTCCACTTCCCCACCTGAGACTATTGTAATACTTTCTTTTCTACTTATAATCAATATATAACCCATTTATATATAGGGTACCTTACTCTATATATAAATTGGGTATTTTTGGCCTAATTATATATATATAATATATATATATATATATATAATTAGAATCAACTACTGATTATAGAGCCATAATTTGTTAGATCTAAATGGTGAATATTGAATTCAGTTAAATACTGAAAGGAGTAGATTCACATTTACTCCACAAAATGAATTAGTTGAACGCCTAAATAATGGTGAATGACAGAATATGACGTTATACAAATTGAGTTCTAAAGTGTCTCGATCATGATCAAATTCACCTAAAATAATTCCCCATTGCAAAAACGAACTCCTTCGTTGCGTTCAGAACATAGACATTGCCTGAGAAGGGGACTGCATGATTAAAAAATCCACATGCAAACAAATTCTGCCTCAAATATGGATTCAAAATCTGTTGCTCGATTAAATATGGAAGCTTTAGAACTTATGAAAACAAATTTTACCATTGGATTCGCAACATAAATACTAATGAACAGAAGACAAAAATGAAAGCTTAAATAGAAGCCAAATGTTGCATATGCTTTGATCATGTGCTAAATGTTCGATAATATGGCCTGAGGATACTAAACAGGCTTGCATAAAAGCATCCTCATGGGCTTTGTTTTCTTTTTTGTTTAGTTTTCTAATCTCAACTGTTTGAGATTATGTGGATTAATTACAATTTTTAGGGTAAAATTAAATCCACTTTTAGAAACATGCACACATTCCAAAGCCTTACAAAGAATTTATTTTCAAATATCAATTTTAAAACTACTAAATTATGAACGGTCACTTAAAATATCAATTTTAAAACTACTAAATTATGAACGGTTTTAAGTAGGGCAACTTGCCTAGAGGATGAGGATGTAAGTCACACTTTGGCTTGTTTGATTTTTCTATTTATGTCTGAATTTAATTAGAATAAGCCCCCACTTTAGCCAGTTTGACCCTGCTCCCTGCAACTACCAGAGTTGATAAGATTGAGCCCCTTCTAAGCCAGTCTGATTCTCCTCATGAGGATTGTAATCGATAGAACTAGTACTTTCAATAATATTTAAGTAAGAACTTAACCTAATATCGGTCAAGTTAATATAAAATTTTAACAGGATGGATTTATTTTCTAAAATCAAATTCCAACAAATATTTAAGCTAATTTATTTATTATAATTCTTGAATTGAATCCTCTGTAAGCAGGACAGAATTGACCAGCCCAAAATGAGCATTATCGTGATAAAGGTCTTGTTGAATGTGAATCTTAACCAGAGCATATTTATTTTTAAGATACTTTAAAAATCTTATAATCTAAAAAATTAAATTATTAAAAATTCAAAATATTTAAATAAAAATTATATCGCCAAAACACCACCACCAACAACAAGCTTTTCCCACTAAGTGGGGTCTGCTATTTGAATCCTTTTTGTCCATTGTGTCCTGTCAAGTGTCAAATATTCATTTAATTCAATATACTTGGATCATTTTTTATACAATATGACTCAGTTTTTCTAGGTCTACCTCTACTATTCTTAACAAAAGTTGAATCTAAAACTTTTACTCTCCTAATCATTAGATGGTCGACGTTTAATGTGACCAAACTATCTAAGATGACTCTGTCAAATTATTTCTGCCTCAAGAACTACACCAACCCTTTCACAGATAGATTCATTTCCTTTTGTCTCTAAGTGTCAAGCCACTCATCCACCTAAGAATCTTATCTCGACAATACGTAACTTTTTTTATGCTTCTCTTTTAAAGGCCAATCTTCTTTGTTATTAAGCATTGCAAGTCCGACCACCATCTCATACAATTTATTTTCTAAGTCTAAGCAGTACTTTTCTATCAAACAATGGGCCCGATGCATTCCTCCACTTTAACCAACCAACTTCATATTATTAGCATCCCCATTTATAGCACTGTTACTTTGAACAATTGACTCAACTATAACATTCAACTCTTTTAATGATATGATCACCCATATTTACAACTTTGTCACTAGATCCACTACTATTAAAATTACATTCCATGTATTAAGTTTTAGGCCTACTAAAATGAAGGCTATTAGACTCTAATATAGACCTCCATAATTCAAGTTTTTTTGAACTCTTTCTCCAAATTTATCCATAAGAGAGATATCAGCAGTGAAAAACATACATAACTAAAGCAAACAGATATGTTCTTAAGGCCGATCCCAGATGTAATCCAACTGAAATAGGAAAATACTCGGTGAATCCTCCTTCTATTTCAACTCAAGTAACAGGTTTAGTATACATATCTTTAATGACTTGAATATAAGTCATATCAGCACCTTTCTTCTTTAGAATTCTCCAAAGGACTTCTCTTGGAACTTTATTGTAAGCCTTTTCAAATTCAATAGAAATCCTACGTAGATTCTCCTTTTTCTATCTGTACTTATCCATGAAACCTCTTGATAAATGTATAGCTTCCATAGTAGATTTGCCCGACATAACTCCAAACTGGTTTTGAGAAATCTTTGTATCCTGTCTTAACCTATGTTTAATTACCACTTCGATAATTTTAAAGTATGGCACATTAACACAATTCCTCTAAATTTTGCACACTAATGTGCATCCAATTTATTCTTAAAAATGGGGACAAAATACTTTTCCTCAACTCCTCGGGCAACCTTTTAGTTTTTAAAATAATATTAAAGAGTTTAGTAAGCCAAGAAATTTCTAAATCTCCAAAAT